CTCTGGTTCCTGATTGAACTGCTTAACGGCCATGATCCCAGAGACTCAGAAACAAATCTTAAAACCCAGCGGCTTTTGGCAGAAATGCATCCAGTCCCTGCAGTAGGTTACAGCGCCGGGCCACAACAGGTGGGAATAGGTTTTGTGCCTTGGCCTGTTCCCCCTAGTGTCCTGGTGGCCGTCATCCTCCAGAGGTCACTGGATAGTCAGGTTTGGGCCCGCAGTGATGAGACACACGGGGCATCGCGAGATGAAGGTGGAGCTGGCCCTTCCCTCCCTGTCCCAACGAGATCCCGAGTCACCACCCAGGAACAGCCTCTTTGGTTCCTGATCAAGCTGCTTAATGGCCATGATCTCAGAGACTCAGAAACAAATTTCGGAACCCAGCAGCTTTTGGCAGAAATGCGTCTGAACCGTGCAGTAGGTTACTGTCGCCAGGCCACCCCAGGGGGAAAGGGTGCTGTCCCTCTGCCTGCTCCCCCTTGGTGGTTTGGTGGCCACCATCCTCCAGAGATCACTGGACAGTCAGGTTTGGGTCCACAGTGATGAGACACACAGGGCCTCACGGGATGGGGGTGGAGCCGGCCCTTTCCTCCCCGTCCCAACTAGACCCCAAGTCGCTGTCCACGAATGGCTTCTCGGATCCTGATCAAGCTGCTTAACGGCCATGATCCCAGTGACTCAGAAACAAATCTTGAAACCTAACAGGTTTTGGCAGAAATCCCTCCAGATTTAATTGTTAACATTTTGGAATTTCAAAATCGCACAGCTACTACTGCAGCTGCACGACATCATATGTTATTCATAACCAGCAATAGAAAACAAATTGTCTACTGTTGCCTTTTCGGCCGATCTGAGTGTTGGAGTAAAATCTCAAATAATAATGGTGGGTCTGGTGTCAAAATATTGAATGCAATCAAAGTAGAGAGGGAGTAATGTGGAAATCATCTGTCCCACAGGTAGAGGGAGGGTGTAGGATGAGGGTATATTGGGGGTTTTGGTGGTGAAGAATGGGCACGAGTGAAGGTTTGTGTGTTTCATTGTATGACTGAGACTTAAACCCAAAAGGCTTTGTAACTGCTCTCACGGTGATTCAATAAATAAAATTATAAAAAATGAAAAAATAAAGTAATGTGGAGTTCATGCCCAATTCAATCAGCCTAATCAGTGGCTGAATAGCAGTACTCCTACATAAAAAAATCTTATTTTCAATAAGATCACATTTACAGGTGCTGAAGGTTAGGATTTATTTGGTCATCATTTTTCTACAATTGCTACACTTGCCGTCTGATTGTCACCTAAAGTCTCACCTATAGCGATTCGGAGAAGATTTTGAGTCTGGCCTCAAAGTTGTCAACTAGTTTTACCAGAGCAACAAAAAGAACTGCCTGACACTGAATATTTACTAGTGACAGGAGGTGTGTGTGTGTGTGTGTGTGTATGTATATATTATATACATGTGTATATATATGTACATGAAAATGGCTTATGTATGTACATGAAAATGACATATATGTACATGAAAATGGCTTATATACTTTTTAATAAGTCATCATTATTAAAGTCAAACATAATTTTTAAAAGAAAAACAAAATAAAAAACACCATTCCCCAAAGAAATGCTAACTTTTCTAATATTTACATCTAAAATTATGAATGAAACACTTGCACTTCTATTTCTTGATTTTTCCATTCCAGTAAGTACTCAGTGATTTCCTTTTAAAGACCTTGAGAACTTAGCCTGGTCTCCATTTATTTCTCTCCTTTTCCCAGTAGGATATATGGTAATTTTAATTACTACTGAGTCAAAAGAGTACTATAAGTACTTGTTTGTGGAAATTTTGTCCTTCCTGAGGCCTTGCCTTAGTTTTCTATGTTAATATATTTGCTATTCACAAACTCTCTCACCACTATTATAACAGCCCTCAATTTTCTCATGGTCAAATCCATTAAGAAATGTTAATCCCACCTTCTTTGGGGAGAGGGAAACCACTCCCTGGAGCCGTCCATTGTCCTACTATAACTAAGGTCTTGAGCATTATAGTCCCAGAACTTCCATTTTCTATCTTTTGAGAGTTCGTTATGGGTCAGTCTATTTCTCTTGGGGGGGTGTCTTAAGGGGGGATAGGACCATAGACAGTGATGCTCAGGGATTATTCCTGACAGTTCTCAGGGAACCCTTTTTGATAGAGCTCAAAGATAACATGCGAGGACCAGGGATCAAACCTGGGTTGGCATGAGCAAAGCAAGCACTTTAAAAACAAATAAACCAACAAATAACAACAACAAAACTTGCTCTAATTTTTTTGGGGGGGGCGAGGGGTTGCATTATACTTTAGTTTAGGAAAAAAATGGTAAAACTAATGTTAACATTTTTTTTATTTTTATTAGTGAAACACCATGAAGTACAGTTGTAGACTTACAAATTTTTTTGATGAACAAATTTACTGCATCCTCCCACCACTTAAGTGGTGTTCAAGACCCTCCACTTTGTGTTTTGACATTGTAGTGCCGCTACAGTGTTTTATACTTGCAGCAAATGCCCACCACCAGAGTTCCCTAGTTACTTAGAGACTGGAAGAAAAAAATATTGTGACCTTAAAAATTTCTTGTTCGTAGAATGGTTCATTATTTGACCTCAGTAGTTTTTAAAAAGTTGTTTCATTGTCTTATGGACTTCAGAGTTGTAGTTAAGTGTGATTCTGGATCTCAATCAGTTCCAACATAGTTTTCAACATCCCTCCCTATTCTAAATCTTACTCCTCCCCCAAAGCTCTTCCTGGTTTTGGTGCTGCCAAATTCTGAGCTTTTTCCATATCTCTGAGTAATTTCTCTTGGGCATCTCTTTCCTCGGGAACTTAGGTTCCATTCCTTAAGTTTCAGCTGGCTAACTAAATTACCATTTTCCTATCTAGGGTGAGCTGGGAAATACTTAGCCACCAGAAGGGTATGAAAACCATTAATAAGTAATGAACAGTGTCATACTTGTGTGGACTGGCAAGTACTGATGAAATAGCTATTCTGCCTCCATATTTTCAAAAAACAATCTGCTAATAGGACCAAAAGAAAGTTCAAAGGGTTGAAGCACACGATTTGCATGCAGGAGTTTCAGATTTGCCCCCCCACGTTATGACGGACATGGCCTTCCCACTCCTTCCCCCAAAAGTGTCAGAACTCTGCTTACATTTCTTGTTAATTGTTGAGTCTGTTCCCATTTTCCTTGTCATTACGGTGTTTTCTAATGCCTTTTTTGTATTCCTTTTTATCATTTTGGTGTGATCTCACCATCAGCATCAACAAAAGCTATGTTTAGCAAAGTATAATAGATTCTGTTCTGTTACCTTACTTGATCCTAATACCAGCCTTATGTGAAAAGTATTACTCACTCCATCTAATATACATGAATTTCAAATTTGCTTACAATTTGTACTCATGGTTAGATAATTAGTATGGAACAAAATTCAGATTAGTTGGTATGGTTCCAAAGTCCATGCTTTCGCCGCCCAGAGAGGAAGCATCTCTCAAAACCCGTGCATGGTTTCTGTCACCACGTCTGATATTTTGTTTTCCCCAACCTTCTGCTTGTTATGTATATTTTAAAATAGGTGAATGGTCCATTTGTATAAGAAACAGTTAGTGATTACATCTAGATTTCAGGATTTCACCAAAGATGTACTCAAGCTCTACCTCCAGACTAGAGGTTGGGAGTTACATTTTGTTTTTTATTTTATTTAATTTATTTTATTTTTGCTTTTTTGGGTCACACCCAGCAATGCACAGGAATTATTCCTGGTTCATGCACTCAGAAATCTCTCCTGGCAGTGCTTGGGGGACCATATGGGATGCTGGGAATCGAACCTGGGTTTGCCGCGTACAAGGCAACGCCCTACCTGCTGTGCTATTGCTCCAGCCCTGGGAGTTACATTTTAAACTAGTTCCCCAGATTAGGATGGTTTCCAGACATTTTGAGAAGAAGCCTTTCTCTAGTTAATGCATCTTTCCAAAAACAGTTAACACCCACCTTTCCTTACCAGCCAGAATCCTTCCCGTTATGTGAGTTGTGTAGGTCTTAGTTGAGTCCTACTTGCTTTTCAGGAACATTAGAGGAGACATATTAGATCATTTAAGGCCAATACTGAAAAGTTAACATTCTGGAGCCCGATTTACCCCAATGCCACATAGTTGCCTGAGCACTGCCAGGAATGACCCTCAAGCACTGCTGGGTGTGGCCCCCACTTTCCCAGAACAAAGAAAAGGGAACATTCAGAGTCACTATTTCCATCATAGATATCTAGCAATGCTACTATGAAAAAAAAATTAAATAGAATACAACAAGCAGCATAGTTTTAAGAGCCAGACCTGGGATCAAAAATTCTGCAAATAGTAAGAGAACTAGAAAGGAAACTTGAAAACAAATTCAAAGAACAAGCTCATTGTGTTCACACTGGTGGCCTGGACCACAAATCCTGAGGTCTAAGCTGGCAGGAGCCGGACTGTTTCCACTGTCAGTCTAAGGGAACGGGCGTGATGCACCAGCTACAGTCATATTAGTCACAAAATCCTTCCGAGGCCACACTGACTGCAAAGGGGTGAATTTGCTGAGTCCTTTGGGACTCAGAAGCTATGGGGCAGGAAAATAGTTCAGGAGAACCCTGGTTCTATCCCCAACCTGCATGGTCCCCTAAAGCCATGCCTCCACCCTTCCAGCTACTCCCCCCTGCATCCCCCACCCCCAACAGGGACGTCCTTGCCCCCCCCCCCAGGAGCCTGCTATGGGGTGTGACCCAAAGAACCTGAACCCAACCCAAACCAAAGACCTTTTTCAATTCTCGCAAGGAAATTGCCTGGGGTTTTACCTGGACGCCAGAGGAGGCGAGACCAGAGGTTTTGTTTGAATCTGACAGATCAGACTTTTATTTCACAGCACTGATAACAGCTCACTCCTTCTATAGCGGGGCAGCCACGACACGGGAGGTGGTTCTGGCTCCGGCGGCCTGCTGCTCATCTTGGTACGCGCGCTCCCGAGGGTTCCACCGAGCCCTCCTGCCAGTCCCGTACCTGGCTCCGCAGCCGGGATATGAGGGCCGTGAGATCCACGTTCTTCTTCTCGTAGTCTTGCAGCTGGTTTTGGCACTCGGCCAGCTTGGCCTCGGCGAACTTGAGGATGTCGGGCGGCTGCTGCAGCTCGGCCAGCTGGGACTGGAACTGCTTGCGCGCCGCTTCGATCTCCTTGTTCATCTCGTCTTTGAGGTACTTGTTCTCTTTGTCGCAGCGCTCTAGCTGGGCCGTCATTTCGTCCGCCTCCATCCTGGCCCGGGACACCTGGCACTTGTAGTTGTCGATCATGCCCTGGTAGTTCTTGATGGACGCCTTCAGCTGCATCACCTCCACGTGCACCTCGTTGAGCCGGTTCTCCTTGGGCACGATGCTGGCCTTGAGCCGCTGGTTCTCCTGGATGAAGACGTTGTACTCCGAGGTCTGCCGGTGGAGCCTCTCCACCAGGCTGTCCCTCTCTTCGCGCATCTTCTCCTCGAGGGTCTTCTGCTGGTTGACCAGATCCGCCACGCGGTCGTTGAGGACGACGATCTCCAGCTCCAGGTCGCCCTTGTCCTTCACGACTTGGTTGTAGCGGGTCCGCCACGATTCGAGGGTGGTTAAAGCTTCCGCGACATAGAGATCTTTGTCTGCAAGTTGCACGTGCAGTTGCTCTGCATACTCCTCGCTTTTCTCCGCTCGCTCCTTCTGGGCCAGGATGACCTTTTTCAAGATCTCCTTGTCCCGATCCCCCTTCTTCTTCTCTTCCTTCAGCTGCTCCATCATAGCCTCCACCTCGGCCCGGTGCTGGTGGCCGCTGCGCTCCAGGTTCTTGATCTGCATGTTCAGGCGGCTGTTCTCCGCCTCTCGGTTGCGCAGCTGCGCCTGCAGCTGCCCGCGCATGGACTCGGTGGACTTGGAGAGCTCCGAGGCCGACTTGGCTTGCGCCTTCTCGCTCTGGATCTCCTGCAGGAGCTCTTCCACCTCCTTGTCCTTGCTCTCCAGCGCGAGCATCAGCTGGGCTTTCTCCGAGTCCACCTCTTCGAGCCGTTTCAGGAGCGCTCCGTGATCCATCAGCCGTTCAGGGTTTTCTTTGCAGTGCTGTTCCCTCAGCAGTTCTCGGAGGGTGCGGTTGGTCTCCTCGAAAGCGCACAGCTTCTGGAGGAGAAGCTCCTTCTGCCTCTTGAGGGCGTGGATGTCGGTGCTGGTCATCTGTTTCTCCGTCTTGAGCTTGCCGATGGTGTCCTTCAAGGCCATCACCTGCTGGGCGGCGGCGGCGCCGTCCATCTCCGCCTCCACCAGCTTGTTGACGAGGCTCTCCTTCTCCTGCTGCAGGTGCTTCTTCTGCAGCAGGGTGATGTCCTTCTCCTCCTTCATGCACTCTATGTTGTGCCGCAGCACGGTGTTTTCGTGCTCCGTCTCGGCCAACTCCTGGGCCACCTCCTCCAGCTCTTCCTTGCGCTCCTCCAGGAACCTCTTAGCCATCTGGCACTCGTCCTTCTGCATCTTGATCTCGGTCTTGAGACAGCCAACCGCGTTCATGAGACTGTCGCTCTTCTGCTCGTAACGGTTCATTTTGCAGTGACCCCAGTCGTCATCTTCGGTGGAGAGGTCACTTAACCGCATCACCGAGAGCAGTTTTTCCGAAGATGATGGCGTGATCCCCAGGCAGTGCGGCGGGCTCTTGGCTTTCACCCCGACATGCCGCCGCGCGTTCACGGTTTCCCCTTTCATTCCGCGCTTCTGAGATTTCTCTCCCCTTTTGAGCTTGCTTTTCTTCCCTTTCTGCTTTTGGGAAAGTCTGTTGTCATGATTGGGAGATTTTGACGTCACAGTCACACTAAATACGCCATACGGTGTCCTCAAGACCTTTCTCTGCATGAGGCTGCTGGCTCCGTTCTTCCCACGCGAAGGAAACCGACTCGTCTGAGGTTTTCGTTGGGCAGCCATCTTCTCCCCTATGGGTCACTCGGCCTCTTGGGTCCAGCCCCCCCGATCTCCCGGGGTTCCCCGAGGCCCTGCTGGGACCGCGCTCACAAAGTTCATGCATGTTTAGTGGCTCCACCGCGCCCGCCCACCGCAGCTCCCTAGGCAAATGTGAGCCGGGCCCGGTGCTCGGATAACGGCAGCATCCTTTACACGCCCCAGCAGCCCACCCCGGCCCACTTAAAAGCTCACCTCCCTCCCGGGGGTTCGCTGGTCCCTCGGCTGGAATGAACGTTGGCGGTTTATTGATTTTTTTCCCCCCCTCCTGCCATGCTTTTCAGAACAGTGTGAGCAGACGGGTCAGTCCGCGTGTTAATTTCAGAGTCTAGTTTATTCCAAACTGGATCTAGTTTTTCTCACTGCTGTGGGATTTTTTTATTATTATTATTATTATCATTCCCTCTCTTGCCATTTGGATCGGCCTCTCGGGCAATTCTTTACAAATGCTGCCTCTGCCTCGCTTCCTGCTGGTGCCAAATTCAATCATCCCCCTAATACCGCTGCTATCTCTTACCAGCTGGGTTTCAAAACCGTCTTCAAATTCTTTCCACCTTTGCCAAAGCCTGTGTAATTTCCCCCATAAAGTAACAAACAGCTGTTAGTTTTTATTCCTTTTTTTTATAAATAAAATATCCTCTCCAACTCTAGAAAATCAAGTTCCCTTCCTCCTTTAATAGATTATGTACTTAAAAAAAATAGGTTTCTAAGTGAGAGCAAACGCATCCTTGTTCACTTGAATTGTGTCTTAAGGGATAGATCATGAAAAAACGAAGTAATAGAACTTTGGATGTTTTATCCTGGCACTGTTAATACAAAAAAAAAAATCACGTAATTCTGCTTTACATCTTTTAATAATCATTCACCGATGCCTGATAGTGGAAGCACCCAGAAATGAATGTGTGAGGGACCCAAACATCTTTTCATAGAATCTTTCTTCAGTTATAAAACAGATATAACAAAGAAACAAAACCAAAAACAGGCCATTCTCCATGATATTTTGCCTGGGAGAGTGGACCAGGCTGTTCAATGCTCAACTCTGAAGGTGATTGGTGCTTAGGGGCCATGTGCTGCCAGAAACCAATGTCAGGGCCTCTCACATGAGCTCTACCACTTGGGCTGTCCCCCTAACCACAGATTTCCAATACAGGGAAATTAAAAAAGTTCAAATTACTCATTAATAATAATTGTTTTTCAGTGGTACAGGGGATAGATGCCAGGGCAGAATTCTTCTTTCAATTCATATAATTTTCACACATTGCTTTTTTGTCATTTCATGAATTCTTATAATCAACTGTTTTTTAGATTAGAAAACATTTTTTTATTATTATTTTTTTGCTTTTTGGGTCACACCTGGCTCTGCACTCAGGAATTACTCCTGGTAGTGCTCAGGGGACCATCTGGGATGCTGGGAATAGAAAGGGGTCGGCCGCATGCAAGGCAAATGCCCTACCTGCTGTGCTATCATTCCAGCCCCTAGAAAACATTTTAAAATGGATTTTTGACATAGAAAAATCAAAGTTTAATAAATGAGGATATAATATTATGAATCAAGAACATAGCACGAGGAGCAAAGGAACAGCACCATAAGTTGTAGTGCATGCCTGGGATACATAAGGCCCTAAGTTTGGGTCCTAGCACTACATGGTCAAGTACTGCTGGGAACAACTCCCAGGACCGCCCCCCAACACTGCTCGAAAGAGAGAACACAGCACAAAAGCAAAAAAAAAAAAACCCCTGTCTTTCAATAATGATGACTCAAAATGGGCAAAGTCCAACCTACATAAAACACTGCTATGCCTTACACTGTTTCATTCCAGTTGGAACAAGAAGTTCCAGCTGGAAAATATTTCTGCTGGAGATTAGGCTCAGAGGATAGGAACATCTGGAGCAGCAATGGAAGAGAGTAGAACCAGATGTGATTTCATGGAAGGAGAATTATTGCTCTTCTACTGGGGAGAGCTGCTCAAGCCATCTGTTTTCTTTATTTTTCTAATTGTTCGTGAGGAAAATAAGGACACTGCATAAATGGCCACATATATATATATAAAATTGATTTCAAACATACTTTATAGTTCTAAACCCAAAGAACTTACACATTTGTATTATAGGATATCACAGTAATAATAATGATCAAAATATCAATAAAGAACATACCATTCTCTTTATTACCAGAAATAAGTCATTAAATTTTTACTTCTTGTTTGGGCGTATGGGACCACACTCAATTGTGCTCAGGGCTAACTCCTGGCTCTAAGCTCAGGCATAACCCTTGTTGTTGCACAAGGAACTATATACGTGGCAGGAATTGAACCAAGGTCACATGTGTGCAAGGAAAGCACCTTCCCACTGTATTATCTCTCTGTACTATTGTTCATTGAATTTTTAATGCAGGCTAGTGCTTAATTTGCTGTCTCCTGCCATCACCAGCTTCCCTTAAAATTAAGGGAGATAAAAGAACCAGGGATGTAGTTCAGTGGTTGAGCACTTACTTGCTTCGCATGTGTGAAGCCCTGGGATTAATCCCCTGTACCACCAAAAAAGAAAATGAAGTAGAATAGCAACAACAGTTTACAGATGTAAATTTTGAACCCTGGATTTTGATCCTATTCTGTCAGCCACTAACTGTGCCCTGGGGCAAACAAGCCATTTAACTCTTTTCTATCTCACTTTATGCAGTGTAAAGTGAGACTTTACACTTACAGAGTCTGTATGAACATTCAGTGAATTATTATATACACGTGCCTAAAGCAACATCAGCAGATAGCCAGCACACAATAAATGTTTCCTTTTAAAAATTTGTATTATGATGCTGCAGCTGATCTTTCTTCTGGCTGATCAGTAACTGATCATGAAATGATTCCTTCGCCTTTCAATGTGACAGGAAACCCGAGGAGAGGAATGGTGTTGGGATCAGGAAATTCTTCCTTAGCCTCTGTGAAGCACGTGGACCCTGCAGCAAGCTCCTACCTGGTGAGCCTCCGACAGCCACACAGTTCAGTAAGACCCACACGCTAACTACCAGGTTACTTTCATAGAACTCACTGTATGATACGCCTGATCACTGGGGGGAAAATCAGTATCACAGAATTACTTCATAAATGACTACAATAGACTCTTCTTTGGGGAGTGGGGCTTGGAGTTGGGGTCATGCTAGGCACCGCCCTGGGGCAACTCCCAGTTCTGTGATTGGGGGCTGCTCTTGGCAGTGCTCAGAGAACCATGCAGTGCCAGGGTTTGATCCAAGATCGACATTCTGCAAGACAAGTACTTTAACCCCTGTACTGTACCCTCTGATGAGCCCCTCTTTTTTTTTAAAAAAAGTTATTTTTATAAAGTAGTTCACAGGGAGAAGGGGCTCGGGACGAAGTTTGGGGGTGACAGGGTGAAGAAATTTCCTCATTTCCCTTTTGGGCCACACTTGGCAGTGCTCGGGGCCTGCTCCTGCTCTGTGCTCAGAGAACCATACAGTGTGCCGGGGATCACACCCCGGTTGGCCACATACCAGGTAAACATGCTATCCACCATATCAACTCTTCAGCTCCTCCAACCAATTTGTTGTTTGTTTAGGGGCTACACCTGTGATGTTCAGAGGTTACTTTTGGCTCTTCACTCAGGAATCAATCCTGGCTGTGGTTGGGGGATCTTATGGGATTTTATGGGCTGGAGTGATAACACAGCGGATAGGGCATTTGCCTTGCATGTGGTCAACCTGGGTTCGATTCTTCTGCCCCTCTCGGAGAGCCAGGCAAGCTACCGAGAATATCGCGCCCGCACAGCAGAGCCTGGAAAGCTCACCGTGGTGTGTTCGATATGCCAAAAACAGTAACAACAAGTCTCACAATGAAGACGTTACTGGTGCCCACTCGAGCAAACTCATGAACAACGGGAGGACAGTGCTACAGTGCTACAGTGCAGTTCACAGTATTTGATTACATGGGCTGGAGCGATAGCACAGCGGGTAGGGCGTCTGCCTTGCACGCAGTCAACATGGCCGACCCGAGTTCGATTCCTCCGCCCCCTCGGAGAGCCCGGCAAGCTACGGAGAGTATTCGATATGCCAGACACAGTAACAACAAAGTCTCCAATGGAGACGTTACTGGGCCCGCTCGAGCAAACCCGCTCGAGCAAATATTAGAACACCAATCCCATCGCCATTACACCTTCCCACCACCATATTTCGAATGTTTCCATCCTGAACCCCAACCCTTGCCCCAAAGCAGAACCAAAATAATTTATTTTGTATTGTTATGAATCACTGTATCACTGTATCACTGTTATCCCATTGATCATCTAATTTACTCGAGTGGGCACCAGTAACGTCTCTATTCCTCCCAGCCCTGAGATTTCAGCAGCCTCTTCCTACTCGTCTTTCCCCAACAATTGGAGGCTCTTTCAGGGTCAGGGGAATGAGACCTATTGTTGTTACTGTATTTGGCATCTTGAATACACCATGGGGAGCTTGCCAGGCTCTGCCCGTGTGGGCGGGATACTCTTGGTAGCTTGCTGGGTTCTCCGAGAGGCATAAATGAGTAAGAAGTGTCTTATTTCTTGGCCGCGAAGTTCAAAAAGCGTCCTGGAGCATGGCAGTGGTTGAGCAGTGGAGGTCGGCTGTCATGGCTGGGTCCCTTGGGGTGGGGAGGGCTCTCACCAACCCCACAGCCTGGTGCAGGTTATGAATAAACTGTTATTTATAAACTGTTGAAAATTATCCAAAAAAGTTTCCTTAGAGGAAAGTGTGTTAAGATTGTTGTATTTCACCCGGGGGGGGGGGGGCATTAGCCCTTCTATAAAAGATTAATAACATGTTGTTAAAGGTTGAGCTTTTGTGTGTGCATATATATACATATGTGTGTATATACATATGTATACATACATATATATACATATAGCACTGTAGCACTGTTCTCCTATTGTTCATCAATTTGCTA